GACGGACGAGGGAAATATTCTTGAAAAAGCAGGTTCCACACCCTCAACGAAAAATAAGTGTGCGTGAGAGAGAGAGAGAGAAAGAGAAAGAAGGATTTTAATACAATATCAAACATCGTTTAACAATCGATCGGAAGAAACGTGATGCAAAAGAACAACATCGAAAAAAATCAAGAGCGAAGAAAAATCCTCTTGATCGAAAGGGGATCGACAACCAGGGGGAACGAAAATCAAAAAGTTACGCAGAAAGTTAACGAATAGTGAACGGGCTGGTGGTGTGCGATTTCCACGGAAATGGAAATTCAACGAGTAGCGAAAACCCCCGATGGCAGGGTGGGCGGGGGTGAGAGGTCGGAGGGACGGACTTGAGAGTTTATGCCCCGTCCCCCTCCCTCTCACCCCTGCAGTCGATCAATGCGTGGACGGGTTTCACTTTCGCGGTGTTAAAGTGTTGCACCATCGCCGATTAAGAGACAAGAAAAAAACCATTTTTTGCCTGTCGCGCGACTAATTTTTCTCTCTCTCTTTCTCTCTCTCTCTCTCTCTCTCTGTGCGTAAAACAGGAACGATCGAAGGATTGAATTCAACCAACTCCCACCGAGAAGTGGATGATAAATGAAAGGAAAAAGAAAACAAGAAAAAGAAAGAGAACGAAATTGTTGTTGGTTGTTAGAAGCAGCGGCGACACGCGGACGAACGCGTTGCTTCTCTTTTCCAAGCGATTCGAAGTTAATGGCTGGGAGTTATTGATCGTATCGATTTACCGGAATCTCAACTATTTATAACCGTTCTGCGTCGTCGGCTGTCATTATACATAGACACATCTATGCCGATTCTAATAATATCGCGGTTTTCGCGTTTCATTTTTACCTGGCCGACGATCGACGAGACGATGCCGCACATGTTGCCGGTCAATACGCGGAAAAGAAAAAGGTTTACACAGAAATTTCAAAATTGGAGATTACGATAAGAAATAACCATCGGAAGACTTAAAATTACGAATCGAGCGTGAATTAAATGGTTCGTCGAATCGAATACGGATCACAGCTGAAACTTATCGAAATTACATAGATAGCTACGTTTCCTGGTATGCTAAATTTTTAATAAACGAGTCGTTGTGTTCGTACTGCGAATATCACAGTTACACGCAACGAATCACGATCGAATAAATACACGACGGGGTACTAAGTCTAATAAACTTTGCAAAGCTAAGACAAAGTCTAACGTTCTTTCTTTTTTCGAATTTTTGTACAGTGAAGGATGGAGGCCAGCGAGTGGGATCACGCGACCTTGAGGGAAGAGGAATTCGAGCAGCATGCCGTATATTTGGTACCGGATGTGGCGGCATCGCCAGGCGATACCAATCGTGCGGAGGCATCCCTGCCAAGAAATTTGGTGCTTAAACCTTCTCAGGCCCTCAACGATGTACGTTCCTCCGCCAAAGAATCCTTTCTCGAGACCTCCTCGGTGAGAGTCGCGAGGATAATCGCAATTTCTCGTTTATTCACTTGCCTAAACTTGCCTAAACTTGCTTAAATACGGCGTCGAGAACTCGACCAGCTTACGAGAACCTTTTCGGGGGAAATTTAATTTCGTTCGATTCGGGCCGTGGTGAGGGGGGAGGGGATCGGCGATTGTTACGATTTAAGGGATAGGCAGCGGTGAATCAAACTTGACCGAGTGACGAGGCTAATTAACTTACCACGAGTATGACCTAGAGCTCAAGTAAATCGTTACACTTTCCTCGGTGACAGGAATCGAGACCAATAGCCTCGGTCATTGCACGACTCGTTTCAAGTTCGAACCGTTGCGAAGTAGTGTAGTATTCGGTCGATTGGAAGAATTCATCGGGCGGAATGTCAATTCACGAAGAAATATCAATTCACGAAATCGGAATTTTAAAATCATCGAGATGATAACAACGGGATGTCCGGATATATCTAATCTAAGTATGGGCACAACGTTTCTACAACGCGAAAAATAGAGCAACCTACGTTCGAAAATATCACGCGGCTAAAAGAGTTTAACGTGACGTATATCCCGACCACCGGTCGAATCGACGTGTACGTCACGCTTTTCGGTATATATATATATATATATTCTCGTTTCACGAACTTCGCGACGACACTGTACATTAAGGATTTCGGATGAATTAATTTTCCTTCGCGCCGAAACTATGACAAACAAACTGAATAAGATGTTACACAAGATCAGAATCGACGGATGATAGAGGATGATGTGGGACGTGTGCGCAGGTTTTGGGAGTTTGGAGCACAAGTTACATCCCCAAGGGGACACGGTTCGGTCCTCTTGTTGGACAAGTGTACACCAAGGATTCGGTGCCGGCCGACGCGAACCGGAAGTACTTCTGGAGGGTAAGAATCATTCAAAGTGCATGTTCGAAATCCTCCCGTAGCAGTTATGTGTTTCGCGAGAGTCGACTATCATCATTGACTAGTCCCTCGGATGATGGGAGAGAGAAGAAAAAAAAAAAAGAAACAACGAGAAGAGGACGAAAAGGGAGAGAGACAGAGAGAGAGAGAGAGAGAGAGAGAGAAGCCTGGTAAAGACCAGAAACTGGTTTCAACCGATCTAGCGAGCCTTAAAGCGAAACCTGCGAAGCCATTGATGCCTCGTAACGAATTGATGAGTTACGATAGAGAACTTGGTTCTCTCTCTCTCTCTCTCTCTCTCTCTCTCTCTCTCTCTCTCTCTCGATTCTCGCTATTAAATCGGCAATATTTCTTTGTTAGTCGATGCCTTAACTACGTCGAACGCCGAAGATTTAACCTCGACTTTAGACACTTAGGTAGAATTCTCGCGACACACGTTGCATTTCCTGCGTTGCGGCTATCTTTCTGCACAAATGCTCGTTGCTCACCACTAAATCGTATGTTTTTCCTCGATAGGTGTACAAAAACAACGAGCTGTTCTATTACATCGACGGTTATGACGTCCAGAAATCAAATTGGATGCGTTACGTAAACCCGGCTTATTCGTCCGAATCGCAGAACCTAATAGCATGCCAGTATAAGGTGAGTCAAATTGATAGAACGCCATCGTCAACCACTCTGTGCCACTGTGGTAGTAGTAGCATAGTTTCGACGTTCATTTCGACTGCCCTTGTTTTTTTTCTGTTTTCCTTTTGCAGATGAACATTTATTTTTACACAATCAAGCCGATACTACCGAATCAAGAGCTTCTGGTGTGGTATTGCCGAGAGTTCGCAGAAAGGCTCAATTACCCATTAACGGGTGAACTGATGCTTCAGAGAATACGTAAGCGCACGTTTCGTTCGGCGTTGGATGCGCAGTGACGAGCAGACATTTCACGGAAGTTTCATTGTTTCACAGGACAACAAGTACAACAATCTACGTTACCAACGGAAATTCCACCCACGGTGGACGTGGTGTCGCCGCTAAAGGACTCGTCGATTTACGAGAGACGCTCGCAAATGACCCCGACGGACGGTTCCGTTAGATCGGACGAAGGCTATCATTCGAATGGTTATCACGACGAGATCCTCACGCCCCCGGAAGAGAGCAGCGAATCGGACTCGGAGAACAATTACGTGCTGGATTTCAGCAAGAACGCGAAAACGTCGGTATGCAACAACGAGGTGCTGAAACAGGACAATGCAGTGGCGAAGAACGAGTACAGGAAGGTTAAGATCAAGATCACCAAGACCTACGGGAACTTTCAGGCGTCGAAGAGCCTGGACGGCAGCGGGAAGGACAAAGATCAGGAATTGCCGAGCAGGGCGGTGACCCCGGTGGAACTACAGAAACCGTTGTCACCTATAGTTCTTCAGAAGAACACGGTCCTGACGACGGTAACCGAAGACGAGATCCCAGAGAAGAACCCGAAACCGTTCTACGAGTCCGAGGTGAAGGGTGCTTTGCCAGTTCCCGGCAGGCCAGCCTACCTCACCAGCCCGAGCAGCTCCATCCTCGAGAATATCCTTCTTCGTAGCAGCACCGATAACAACAACAACAACAACAACAACAACA